TCTTTGTCTGTGTTTCTTTGTCTGTGTTTCTTCGTCTTCATTTGTCAGTAGCTATAACCTTCCAGTTGTTTTGTTTCCAGCCTCTCAGGCACTTTCTGGGAAAGGTATTGATTTTCACTAACAAAATGCTTTGTCCTATGGAACTTGGTTTATGTCTTGGGGACTTCGTTAACAAAGATACAAATCTACGGAATGGCTTTTGTTACAGTTTTTCTCATGGTCTTGGGATTTTGCATTTGTTACACTTTTTTCCCCCTACCATCCTGAATGCTGTAAATCTTCCAATACCTTTCTTTGTCGCACTGTCTCAAACACTTGTAAGACTTGCTTTGATGTGAAGTTGTTCAAGAATGGTTGGATCCCCTCCAGATATTTTGACTGCCCCAAACACTCATGCCTGCACGCAGCATTTGAGGACTTTCTCAGTTTTTTATTCCGTAGCTCAAAGAAGCTGCATCACTCTCCATTCAGAAAGTTCTGCTTTTGATTCTCCCAATTTTTTTTTCTACTTTGGGTGCACTCCTTCCTGTGTTTCAATGTAGATGAATTAAAGCATATTTTTTGCTGATGATGATGTTTTATGACAGGGCTCTTTTGTATGTTGATAAATTCATTCTTAGAAATGAAATAATCACACATAAATATGATTGCTCAAATTATTGATAAATGAAGTTGATCTGAAAAAAGGTTAATACCAATAAATTGTAGACCTGCTTCTTAAAAGTGGTATTAAGAGAATGATTTTTAAAGACATTTCTGAATATAATCGTCCTTTTCCATCTATATCTGGACTTGAGGCATGTTTACAATTGCATTATCCGTTCTTCCCAGCCGGTGGAAAATTCAAGAACTTCAAAAATTATGTTTTTTCTGAGATGAATGTTCAGTGCATGAGCTATTAGAGAGCGTGAAGATAGATTTTTTTGTGCTGCACCTGATTCATCTAGTATTTTGTAAACCATGTAAGTGACACCTTGCACGTTGATTTTTGAAAAAGGAAAGCATTTTCCTCCCCCTTTTTCCAATTTTGATTCTTTTAGAAATGATCAAGACATTTTTTCAACTGTCTGCTCTTGACATTCCCTTTTGGTCTGAAAATGTTCCTAATTTTCTCTTTTCTTGAATTATGTTCTCTAAGCAAATGTCTATCAACTTATTTACATAAATTTGTTCAGATAAAAAAAAGATATGAAACACTGAACGTTTCTACAGATGGACTGTCATTTTCATGTCAATTCTGTATATTTGAGTTCCTATCAAAACCTCTGCAGGTTGTCCAGAGCACAAATTTTGATTGCGGAAGGATAGGGGCGAATGGAATAGGTGGACAGAGGTGGTAGTCAATAGCTGCTAGTCAATTGATGAAATTGTATCAACTAAATAAATTATTGGCAATATTATTGATGACTTGATAATACTTTAGTTCAGATTCCGTGTCAAAACAGGTATCTAGACTTATATAAAGCAATTAGTTTCTAAAGCTTTGTGATAAGTAGAGGCATTAAGTGTTGAAAAACATAGAGAAAGAAGAGAAAAAAAAGAGGTACATTTCTTGCATGAGAGAAATATTTCTTCAGTTAATTTTTGAAGAAAAAACAAAACTTCATCCTTTTATTTTTAGAGGACATTGACTTGAGTCAAAGTATCTTACTTTTTGGCTTTTATCTAGGATTTGTTAATTCAAAACTCGTATGCTTATCCAAATTCCAGAGAAGCCCTTCATCTATTGCCGACCGTGAAACCGTCTGTATCAGCCTATCATAGAGTGGCATTCCCCTCAAATAGTCTGCAGTAGCCAACCCCAGTTATTATGTCGGGGGGAATGTAGTTTTACCCTAGAAGCAAAAAATATGTGCATCATAACAGCTTTCAAACTGAGGCAGCTAGATAGACATATGTGAGGTGGTGTGGTGAAATCAGGCGCTCGCCAAACAATGTAATTAAGAAAACTGATAATGTATCTTTTGCCTTTAGGCAATTTTTTTTCCTAATTTTCTTTTTTTCACTCAACACCATCTATGTCTATTTAACTACAAAATTATGTGTACATTTTACTGAAAAGCTTTGATCTAAGCCACAAAAAATAGTAAAATTGTAGTTTCCATAGATAGTCAAGCTTTGGAAAAGACCAAACTTTTTCTCACTAATTTTCCCTCTGATACCAGGTGACCCTCACCTTCTTCAATTGCAAATATCTTGTCTTTTCAAGAGAGATGGGTATTTTTTTCACCAAATGCAAGACAATTAATACACAGGCTTTAAGATGATACTAATATCTCCATATGCTTAAAAATTGACAAGCGCCTGATTCCATCATGTCGTGTCACGTATAACAGAAACATTTCTTTCACCTTAGGTACTCTGAGGTCAGATGACCAGTATGACTATGACGAAGTAAAGTACTTTGTTTTATGTCCAATGTTAGTTAATTCCAGTTTTTTGCATTGCTCTGCAGTCGGACACCATCAACTCGCTGGGCTACATCGTGATTGTGCTGAGATTCTTCACGGTCACAGGGAAACATGTGAGTGGTTCTCTGCCGGCGGAGATCTGTCGGTACATCCATCATGTTTATGTCCCAGGCTTTAACACATTTCAGATGCTGTTGATTTAGATTTGCTTTAGAATGGGCTATGTTTGAGTTGTGTCGGCTATCTGTATTGTTGTCTGTTTGTCTGTTCGTTGGGTCTCTGGTTACCATTCCTTCAGGAACATAAGCCTTTAATTATTGCCTCTTCTTAAAGCAATAAACCTAGATAGGATAGTTCATGGAGTGGAAGCCAGGGCTTTGATTGTGAATTAATCATAGTGTAAATGTGGGGTAGAAAGGACCTAGAAATTAACTTTCATGTGTGTCTAAGAATGGTGAACTCTGTGTTTATTTTAAGGGTACCTGAATGAACCCACACAAGGACACCACAGTTTGGTACTCGTTGCTTCTGTTAGACAAAGTGTTGGTAGTTAAAATAAAACATTTTATTGACAACAGAAAGTTTTCACATTTTAACTCTTTTATCTCTGAGGTCGGTAAACTCATTATGCCGGGCCCCTTTTTTTGGTACTAAATCTGAAAAGGACAAAAACGTCACTTAATGGGTTATTAAATCAAAACAAATTAACCTATTTCGATAGTTCTTTATCTTATGGATGAACTCCTGATAAAAGAAACCTGTTTTTGGCAAAATTGCCAAAAAGTAATTTGAAGTCGAAGTCATCGTAAAGGAAAACCCTGAGCCCCTGTAAGCGACTCACCACCACAAGAGTTCTGACGGCGAGCCGCTGGGAGCAGCTTGCCAGAGATAAAGAGTTAGTGAAAGCAATGGTTTGCATCCATTGGGGGGGGGGGGGGGATTGCTGTTGGGTACATACAATACAAAATCTGTACTTTTGATACCTTAGCAAACCTGCCATCCTGTAGCTGGGAGATTTTCTTCTGTCTTGAAGCTGTGCATTGATAGGTTACATACAATCTTCAGGGATGTGAATAAATCAATACGTGGATCAAGCTCAGAGAAGGCTGCCGTTCTGTGTTCCCCTTGAAGAACCGAGAAGGAAAATTAGAATTAGCGGATCAGAATTACAGCTATCACTTGAATGTATGTTTTCCTGTGTGGAGATTCACTGATAACATAGTCGGTATAAAGACAATGATGTTGATGAATGTGGTTCGAATCCCTATAATAGTTTTATTCAATTTCAGTGGTTTGGTGAGTTTGAATTGTTCTCCGAATACTTATCTCAGTCCTTGTAGGAGAATGTTGTTAAATCTGAGCGCCCTTTCTTTTAGATAAACTTACAGTATCGGACGAGGCTCTTTGCCTTGATTACAAATGAAGTGAGAGAAAATACTTAATTTTTCGGAAGGTCTCTGGCTTTTTGTTAAAATACTATATCTTACATTGTTTGCTAGGTGGCTGTGATGAGCAGGGCTGAAGCAATTTGTTATATAAATGATTTACAATTTATGTCCATGGAGTGTTAAACTTGTACAATCGTCTTGAGAGAGGAAGAACTACAATGTTGATGACTGTGATTTGAATAACTTACAGGGGCATTTTTCATGACTTCCATCTACCCAGCCCAATCCTTTAGGACATTATAATGTAACATCGAGAGACCCTGGGTTTTTCAGATAAACACACAGACATAAAAGAGGCATTGTGCAGTGGTAGTTATTATAGATGTTAAACACCCACATCAACACATTTTTGATTATTTTGAAGGGGGGGGGGGGGGAGGGGAGGGTGCTTGATCGATCCTGCCTGTCAGGGTCAACCCAGGCGAAAGGGATCCAATGTCCCAGCAGACAGACAGCAATAGCGTACTGAGTAAAAGAACTTTCCAAAACAAGAATCGAACCAATGTCTTCCGTGTATGACAAAGAAGCCCATACTGCTACCCCACAGACACCAGTAATAATAATAATAATAATAATAATGATAAAAGTAATAATGATAATGATAATAATGATGATAGTAATAATAATAATAATAATGATAATAATAATAATAATAAGAAGAAGAAGAAGAATAAGAATTGCATTTATAAAGCACATATCCATGCACTATGCGCTTTATGACTATGACAGTAAAGAGCTATAGCACCTCACCCTACCATACCGTTTATTTTCCTGTAGGCGACATTGAAGATGCTGATGCTGACTGTGGTGATGTCGGTGCTGCGCTCGTTCTTCATCATCATGGGCATGTTCCTTCTTATGCTCTTTTACGCCTACGCCGGGGTCATCCTTTTTGGCAGTGTCAAGTATGGCTACAATCTGGACAGGTATATAAAACTCACAAAGAGGTTGTATATTATGTGATACTAGAGCTCGCAGCAATGACGTCACAGGTGTCAGACATGGGGGGCCTTCTTACCCTCATTGGCATGGCTGGCTTGACCCCATTTACATGAACAATCAGAGCCCCCATCTCGCTCCCCACGAGCTGTAGCAGGCCTATATAAAACACCACCCTGCCCTCATATTTCAGTGCAAGCTTGTAGATTTCCTCCTTAAACCGTTGAGACGCCTCCACGTGAGTCTTGAAAAGTACTCACCAGTCTGTTGAACCAGACATGTCTTGCCCTTGAGGTTCAGCTTTCCAGAGTGGGGAAACTCCCGAAATTTGGGTCAGCCTGCTTATCCTTATAAAAGCGACCATATAAGCATGTGTATTCCTGACTGTGAGACTGAAAAAATAGCGTGTGAGAATGAGAGAGAGAGAGAGAGAGAAAGAGAGAGAGAGAGAGAGAGAGAGAGAGAATGGATATGTTTTTCTATTTATAGAGAACGAATATTTTAATTGAATGTTTCTAGCTATTTAAGTTTCAATTTTATTGTAACTGTTCATGAGTTTTTATTGCATTCTATATTTTTAGCGAACGAATTGCCAGGTTCATTGCGTGCATATTTTTTCTCATAGAAATTTTATACTTATACATATTACGCATATTACTATGT